TTGGGGATTAAGTTCATTTTCGTGGCAAAGAGGGATTTTGCAATTAATTGCAATTAATCTGATCACTCTTCATGACATTCTGGAGTATATGCAAATTGCCATCATATAAACTGAGGCAGCAGACTTTGTGAAAATTAATATTTGTGTCATTCTCAAAACTATTGACCACGACTGTACACAAATATTTTTAAAAGTGACCAGGATTGCACAATAAAGTTGGGGACTTACAGTGCATTTGGAAAGTATTCATACCCCTTCCATTTTCCCACATTTTGTTACGTTACAGCCTTATTAAAAAATTGATGAAAAAATTTTTTGCCTCATCAATCTACACACAATACCCCATAGTGACAAAGCGAAAACAGTTTTGTAGAAATGTTTGCAAAAGTGTTACAAATAAATAACAGAAATACCTTCTTTACATAAGTATTCAGACCCTTTGCTATGAGACTCGAGATTGAGCTCAGGTGCATCCTGTTTCCATTGATCATCCTTGAGATGTTTCTACAACTTGATTGGAGTCCACCTTTGGTGAATTCAATTAATTGGATATGCAGCATTGAAGGTCCCCAAGAACACAGTGGCCTCCATCAATCTAAAATGGAAGAAGTTTGGAGCCACCAAGACTCTTCCTAGAGCTGGCCGCCCAGCTAAACTGAGTAATCAGGGGAGAAGGGCCTTGGTCAGGGTGGTGACCAAGAACCCGATGGTCACTCTGACAGAGCTCCAGAGTTCCTCTGTGGAGATGGGATAACCTTCCAGAAGGACAACCGTCTCTGCAGAACTCCACCAATCAGGCCTTTATGGTAGAGTGGCCAGATGGTTGAGGTCAGGTGAATGTGGAGGCCAGGTCATCTGATGCAGCACTCCATCACTCTCCTTCTTGGTCAAATAGCCCTTACACAGCCTGGAGGTGTGTTTTGGGTCATTGTCCTGTTGAAAAACAAATGATAGTCCCACTAAGCGCAAACCAGATGGAATGGTGTATCGCTGCAGAATGCTGTGGTAGCCATGCTGGTTAAGTGTGCCTTGAGTTCTAAATAAATCACAGGCAGTGTCACCAGCAAAGCACCGCCACACCATCACACCTCCTCCTCCATGCTTCACGGTGAGAACCACACATGCGGAGATCATCCGTTCACCTTCTCTGCGTCTCACACAGATACGGCGGTTGGAACCAAAAATCTCAAATTTGGACTCATGAGACCAAAGGACAGATTTCCACCGGTCTAATGTCCGTTGCTCGTGTTTCTTGGCCCAAGCAAGTCTCTTCATATTATTGGTGTCCTTTAGTAGTGGTTTCTTTGCAGCAATGCGACCATGAAGGCCTGATTCACGCAGTCTCCTCTGAACAGTTGATGTTGCGATGTGACTATTACTTGAACTCTGTGAAACATTTATTTGGGCTGCTATCTGAGGTGCAGTTAACTCAACCAACTAGGCTCGTAATTTAACAATTGTATTCCTATTTACAGATGGCGTACACATTTGTTATTAATGCATATGAAAGTTCAAATGTTCCAGAAGGCATTTCTGCCAAAAAATGAAATTTTGATCAAAAATAAATGTTTACTTTCAAATGCCTCGCCTGTGAAGTAATGACGTGCGACATACAGTGGGGAGAACAAGTATTTGATACACTGCTGATTTTGCAGGTTTTCCTACTTACAAAGCATGTAGAGGTCTGTAATTTTTATCATAGGTACACTTCAACTGTGAGAGACGGAATCTAAAACAAAAATCCAGAAAAACACATTGTATGATTTTTAAGTAATTAATTTGCATTTTATTGAATGACATAAGTATTTGATCACCTACCAACCAGTAAGAATTCCGGCTCTCACAGACCTGTTAGTTTTTCTTTAAGAAGCCCTCCTGTTCTCCACTCATTACCTGTATTAACTGCACCTGTTTGAACTCTTTACCTGTATAAAAGACAACTGTCCACACACTCAATCAAACAGACTCCAACCTCTCCACAATGGCCAAGACCAGAGAGTTGTGTAAGGACATCAGGGATAAAATTGTAGACCTGCACAAGGCTGGGATGGGCTACAGGACAATAGGCAAGCAGCTTGGTGAGAAGGCAACAACTGTTGGCGCAATTATTAGAAAATGGAAGAAGTTCAAGATGACGGTCAATCACTCTCGGTCTGGGGCTCCATGCAAGATCTCACCTCGTGGGGCATCAATGATCATGAGGAAGGTGAGGGATCAGCCCAGAACTACACGGCAGGACCTGGTCAATGACCTGAAGAGAGCTTGGGACCACAGTCTCAAAGAAAACCATTAGTAACACACTACGCCGTCGTGGATTAAAATCCTGCAACGCATGCAAGGTCCCCCTGCTCAAGCCAGCGCATGTCCAGGCCCGTCTGAAGTTTGCCAATGACCATCTGGATGATCCAGAGGAGGAATGGGAGAAGGTCATGTGGTCTGATGAGACAAAAATATAGCTTTTTGGTCTAAACTCCACTCGCCGTGTTTGGAGGAAGAAGAAGGATGAGTACAACCCCAAGAAACCATCCCAACCGTGAAGCATGGAGGTGGAAACATCATTCTTTGGGGATGCTTTTCTGCAAAGGGGACAGGACGACTGCACCGTATTGAGGGGAAGATGGATGGGGCCATGTATCGCGAGATCTTGGCCAACAACCTCCTTCCCTCAGTAAGAGCATTGAAGATGGGTCGTGGCTGGGTCTTCCAGCATGACAACGACCCAAAACACACAGCCAGGGCAACTAAGGAGTGGCTCCGTAAGAAGCATCTCAAGGTCCTGGAGTGGCCTAGCCAGTCTCCAGACCTGAACCCAATAGAAAATCTTTGGAGGGAGCTGAAAGTCCGTATTGCCCAGCGACAGCCCCGAAACCTGAAGGATCTGGAGAAGGTCTGTATGGAGGACTGGGCCAAAATCCCTGCTTGAGTGTGTGCAAACCTGGTCAAGACCTACAGGAAACGTATGATCTCTGTAATTGCAAACAAAGGTTTCTGTACCAAATATTAAGTTCTGCTTTTCTGATGTATCAAATACTTATGTCATGCAATAAAATGCAAATTAATTACTTAAAAATCATACAATGTGATTTTCTGGATTTTTGTTTTAGATTCCGTCTCTCACAGTTGAAGTGTACCTATGATAAAAATTACAGACCTCTACATGCTTTGGAAGTAGGAAAACCTGCAAAATCGGCAGTGTATCAAATACTTGGTCTCATCACTGTATGCCTAGTTTCCTGAAACAAGTCACATATAAAGAAACAGAAGCTTAGGCCTAACCCCAGAGAGATAGAGAGTGGCATGCTACGACACCAACATGCATTTCTTCATGTCAGTTGGCTACTGCATCTGCTGTACAAATATAGATGTACAGAAGGAGGCTAATTCAGACATTTTCGATCAGAATATATTGTATAAAGATAAGCGTTATATTGTTAGATTATAGGAGTAACTCTGGTAGGCCTGAAACAGACGTCCTCACCTCAAGTTCAACTGTTGGAGTCAGTTGGAGCGCCGGGGCGCACTGCCTTCATATCACAGGCCTGCAGTAGCTAAAGCTTAATAATAGCCACACCCTACCAAACCTTCACAAACGTTTCTAAACTTTATTAGAGTAATATCAAAAGTAAGTCAAGCCATTGTTTATGGGGAAAATACGAGCAGAAGAGTGAATGAAAAACACCCAACCCTCCCCTGTTCCCAATAAAAACCACCCAACCCTCCCCTGTTCCCAATAAAAACCACCCAACCCTCCCCTGTTCCCAATAAAAACCACCCAACCCTCCCCTGTTCCCAATAAAAACCACCCAACCCTCCCCTGTTCCCAATAAAACCATCCAACCCTCCCCTGTTCCCAATAAAAACCATCCAACCCTCCCCTGTTCCCAATAAAAACCACCCAACCCTCCCCTGTGCCCAATAAAAACCACCCAACCCTCCCCTGTTCCCAATAAAAACCACCCAACCCTCCCCTGTTCCCAATAAAAACCACCCAACCCTCCCCTGTCCCAATAAAAACCACCCAACCCTCCCCTGTTCCCAATAAAAACCACCCAACCCTCCCCTGTTCCCAATAAAAGCCACCCAACCCTCCCCTGTTCCCAATAAAAACCACCCAACCCTCCCCTGTTCCCAATAAAAACCACCCAACCCTCCCCTGTTCCCAATAAAAACCACCCAACCCTCCCCTGTTCCCAATAAAACCACCCAACCCTCCCCTGTTCCCAATAAAAACCACCCAACCCTCCCCTGTGGCCAATAAAAACCATCCAACCCTCACCTGTTCCCAATTAAAACCACCCAACCCTCCCCTGTGCCCAATAAAAGCCACCCAACCCTCCCCTGTTCCCAATAAAAACCACCCAACCCTCCCCTGTTCCCAATAAAAACCATCCAACCCTCCCCTGTTCCCAATGAAAACCACCCAACCCTCCCCTGTTCCCAATAAAAGCCACCCAACCCTCCCCTGTGGCCAATAAAAACCACCCAACCCTCCCCCGTGCCCAATAAAAAACACCCAAACCCTCCCCTGTTCCAATAAAACCACTCAACCCTCCCCTGTTTCCCATAAAACCACCCAACCCTCCCTGTGCCCAATAATAAACCACACTACCCTTCCCTGTGGCCAATAAAACCACCCAACCCTCCCCTGTGGCCAATAAAACCCACCAAACCCTCCCCTGTTCCCAATAAAAACCACCCAACCCTCCCCAAAACAAAAAAAATAAGTTTGACAACCCTTCCCTATTTTGGACCAACCCTCTACCCCAGTACATTTAGATCTGTCCCTTATAGGCTACATTATATATTTATTCATTGTTTATTGATCCAGCTAAGTCTCCCTCTTACAGTATCGCTTTATTGTCTTTATAGTCTGTATTTTATATCTATCCATCCTGAGGGAGATGCGAATCACCACTTCCTCCTTTAAAAAATAATAACCTGCCTTTATTGCCTATAAAGTAGCTACTATCCTCCTGAGCCTCTGTCTCTCCCATCCTCAGGTATGGAGGGGGATGCAGACCTCCAGTTCTTGCTGGTGGGTGGAGACCTTCTGAAGGTGAAATCTTCCTCCTGGAAGAAGACCCGCTTCTACAAGCTACAGGAGGACTGCCAGACCATGTGGCACGAGTCCAAGAAGATCTTCAAGTCCTCCCAGACCTGTGAGTGCTGTCTGTGCAAACCACCATGGTGCAATCCATCCACCTGTATGATATCCCAACACCACCCCACCCCTGTCTCTCTAGTGTTGGGGTGTGGTGGATAGGAGTTTGTTGGCTCTCTGTTCTGTTTTCACTCTTCTTCTCCATAGATAGGGTTTATTTGTTAATAAATATTTAGTAGTGTATCTGCTTGAAAAGGAGGAATTAATAAATAGTCTCCAATCTACGAATCCAGAATGTTTTAGAATCAGCACCACCAGTTCCTAACGCACCAGCCCCAAAGCCCTATCCTCTATCCAAAGGCCCAACCTCATTCCTCCACCAACCCTCCCCCCGGCTAATGAAACACTGTTCCCAATAAAACCACTCAAACCCCGCGTTCCAAAAAACATAACCCTCCCTGTGCCCAAAAATAACCACCTAAACCCTTCCCTGTTGGGCCCAAAGAAACCACCAACCCTCCCCTGGGGCCCAAAAAAACCATCAACCCCCTGTTCAATAAAACCCCAACACCCCCCCTGTTCCCAAAAAAAACCACCCAACCTCCCCAAAACAAAAAATAAGTTTACAACCCTTCCTTATTTTGGACAACCCTCTCCCCCAGTATATAGATATGTCCCTATAGGCTACATTATATATTTTATTCATTGTTATTGATCCCGCTATTCCCCCCTCTTACATACGCTTTATTGTCTTGATAGTTTATTTTATATCTATCATCCTGAGGGGGAACGAAATCACACTACTTCCTCCTTTAAAAAAAATACCTCTTATTGCCCATAAAGTACTAACTATCCTCCTACTCTGTCTCTCCCATCCTCAGTTGAGGGATCAGACCCCAGTTCTTGCTGGTGGGTGGAACCTTTTGGGTGAAAACTTCCCCTGGAAAAGACCACGCTTCTACAAACCCACAGGAGGAAATGCCACCATGTGGCACAGTCCAATAAGATCTTCAGTCCTCCCAGACCTGTGAGTCTGTCTGTGGGAAAACCCCCATGGGCAATCCCTCCACGCGTGTGTATATCCCCACCACCCGACCGTCTGTCTCTCTAGTGTTGGGGTGTGGTGGATAGGAGTTTGTTGGCTCTCTGTTCTGTTTTCACTCTTCTTCTATGGTGTCCAGTGGGAGATAGGGGTGTAAATTTTTATTAATATTAATTTATAGTGTATCTGCTTGTGAAAATGGGAGTCGTAATTACCTTAAGGTGAAACCTATCTAGTCCTCTCAGATCTACAGGAATGCCTAGGGTTAGGGTAGGGAATGTTTTAGAATTCAGCACCAGCACCAGTATCCTCTAACTCCAAAGGCACCAGTATCCTCTAACTCCAAAGGCACCAGTATCCTCTATTGCCAAAGGCACCAGTATCCTCTAATGCCAAAGGCACCAGTATCCTCTAACTCCAAAGGCACCAGTATCCTCTAACTCCAAAAGCACCAGTATCCTCTAACTCCAAAAGCACCAGTATCCTCTAACTCCAAAGGCACCAGTATCCTCTAACTCCAAAGGCACCAGTATCCTCTAACTCCAAAGGCACCAGTATCCTCTAACTCCAAAGGCACCAGTATCCTCTAACTCCAAAGGCACCATATCCTCTAACTCCAAAGCACCAGTATCCTCTAACTCCAAAGGCACCAGTACCCTCTAACTCCAAAGGCACCAGTATCCTCTAACTCCAAAGGCACCAGTATCCTCTAACTCCAAAGGCACCAGTATCCTCTAACTCCAAAAGCACCAGTATCCTCTAACTCCAAAGGCACCAGTACCCTCTAACTCCAAAAGCACCAGTATCCTCTAACTCTAAAGGCACCAGTATCCTCTAACTCCAAAAGCACCAGTATCCTCTAACTCCAAAGGCACCAGTATCCTCTAACTCCAAAGCTTTGCCCCCCCAGGCCAGGGTATAGTCAGAGTAGGAAGACTGGCCTGGCCAGGATATGGGCTTGGCATACATCTTGTTAATTGTGGGCGTGGTAGGGAGATTGAATAGATAGAATAGCTGTTGGTGGTTTGGGGAGATGTCAAATAAATACCTTTAAACTCAGTAGGTCTCTCAGATAAAAATCTTAAAATAACTATTATCTTTTTCTGTTATGGTAATCACTGCAATCTGTACAGGTATCTAATCTGACATTAATATAGATAAATGGAAAAGGTGGATAGTTTTTTATTTCTTTTATTTAGGCTGGTATAATTAAATACATATACAGTGGGGAGAACAAGTATTTGATGCACTGATTTTGCAGGTTTTCCTACTTACAAAGCATGTAGAGGTCTGTAATTTTTATCATAGGTACACTTCAACTGTGAGAGACGGAATCTAAAACAAAAATCCAGAAAATCACATTGTATGATTTTTAAGTAATTAATTTGCATTTTATTGCATGACATAAGTATTTGATCACCTACCAACCAGTAAGAATTCCGGCTCTCACAGACCTGTTAGTTTTTCTTTAAGAAGCCCTCCTGTTCTCCACTCATTACCTGTATTAACTGCACCTGTTTGAACTCGTTACCTGTATAAAAGACACCTGTCCCCACACTCAATCAAACAGACTCCAACCTCTCCACAATGGTCAAGACCAGAGAGCTGTGTAAGGACATCAGGGATAAAATTGTAGCCCTGCACAAGGCTGGGATGGGCTACAAGACAATAGGCAAGCAGCTTGGTGAGAAGGCAACAACTGTTGGCGCAATTATTAGAAAATGGAAGAAGTTCAAGATGACGATCAATCACCCTCGGTCTGGGGCTCCATGCAAGATCTCACCTCGTGGGGCATCAATGATCATGAGGAAGGTGAGGGATCAGCCCAGAACTACACGGCAGGACCTGGTCAATGACCTGAAGAGAGCTGGGACCACATTCTCAAAGAAAACCATTAGTAACACACTACGCCGTCATGGATTAAAATCCTGCAGCGCACGCAAGGTCCCCCTGCTCAAGCCAGTGCATGTCCAGGCCCGTCTGAAGTTTGCCAGTGACCATCTGGATGATCCAGAGGAGGAATGGGAGAAGGTCATGTGGTCTGATGAGACCAAAATATAGCTTTTTGGTCTAAACTCCACTCGCCGTGTTTGGAGGAAGAAGAAGGATGAGTACAACCCCAAGAACACCATCCCAACCGTGAAGCATGGAGGTGGAAACATCATTCTTTGGGGATGCTCTTTTGCAAAGGGGACAGGACGACTGCACCGTATTGAGGGGAGGATGGATGGGGCCATGTATCGCGAGATCTTGGCCAACAACCTCCTTCCCTCAGTAAGAGCATTGCAGATGGGTCGTGGCTAGGTCTTCCAGCATGACAACGACCCGAAACACACAGCCAGGGCAACTAAGGAGTGGCTCCGTAAGAAGCATCTCAAGGTCCTGGAGTGGCCTAGCCAGTCTCCAGACCTGAACCCAATAGAATATCTTTGGAGGGAGCTGAAAGTCCGTATTGCCGAGCGACAGCCCCGAAACCTGAAGGATCTGGAGAAGGTCTGTATGGAAGAGTGGGCCAAAATCCCTGCTGCAGTGTGTGCAAACCTGGTCAAGACCTACAGGAAACGTATGATCTCTGTAATTGCAAACAAAGGTTTCTGTACCAAATATTAAGTTCTGCTTTTCTGATGTATCAAATACTTATGCCATGCAATAAAATGCAAATTAATTACTTAAAAATCATACAATGTGATTTTCTGGATTTTTGTTTTAGATTCCGTCTCTCACAGTTGAAGTGTACCTATGATAAACATTACAGACCTCTACATGCTTTGTAAGTAGGAAAACCTGCAAAATCGGCAGTGTATCAAATACTTGTTCTCCTCACTGTATGTATGTACTTGACATGATTTGATATTTCATTCAGCTTCATGATGTCACCTTTTTATGGGTTAAATCTTTAGGTTCACAGACCATAAAAGTGTGTCAACACAGAGAGAGAGTTTGATAATAACCATGGTGATAGGAGTTTATGGCTTTCTTAATCTCTCTTAGCCCTGACAGGTCTCTGAGTCAGAGAGAAATTAGTGCTTTCATTGGATAAGCTGTTTTTTTTTCACAAAAAGGAGTTAAAGAAAGTATTTGAAGGAATGGGTTTCAGCTGAGCATTTTGTTCGTAGTTTTTAACAAGGGGTTTCAAGGGTCTAAATATTTTTTTCCATACATGTATGGGTCTTTAAGTGAGTCTTTATTTTATTTTATTTATTTTATTTGATCTTTTATATACATTTGAAATTAGGTGTTGTTTTTGTTTTTGTCAATTCTGTCATCTTGAGTGGAAATTTCCAGAGCTGATTTTTGAGTATTTATAGTCTATTATATTTTATGACACAAAGCAAAGTTCACTTGAATGCAGAACATGCACAGAAGACTAACTGAACAAAAGCCTCAGCCAATTTAGTATCCAAAGTACACAAAAAAACATCCCCGAGTAGTAGTCATTTATGCAGGACTGGAATAATCTAGTTCCTGGTTCTAGGGAACGCCAAACCTTAACTGTCTTTTGCACGTTTCCTACAGTGGGGAAAAAAAGTATTTAGTCAGCCACCGATTGTGCAAGTTCTCCCACTTACAAAGATGAGAGAGGCCTGTAATTTTCATCATAGGTACACGTCAACTATGACAGACATATTGAGGGGAAAAAATCCAGAAAATCACATTGTAGGATTTTTTATGAATTTATTTGCAAATTATGGTGGAAAATAAGTATTTGGTCACCTACAAACAAGCAAGATTTCTGGCTCTCACAGACCTGTAACTTCTTCTTTAAGAGGCTCCTCTGTCCTCCACTCGTTACCTGTATTAATGGCACCTGTTTGAACTTGTTATCAGTATAAAAGACACCTGTCCACAACCTCAAACAGTCACACTCCAAACTCCACTATGGCCAAGACCAAAGAGCTGTCAAAGGACACCAGAAACAAAATTGTAGACTTGCACCAGGCTGGGAAGACTGAATCTGCAATAGGTAAGCAGCTTGGTTTGAAGAAATCAACTGTGGGAGCAATTATTAGGAAATGGAAGACATACAAGACCACTGATAATCTCCCTTGATCTGGGGCTCCACGCAAGATCTCACTCCGTGGGGTCAAAATGATCACAAGAACGGTGAGCAAAAATCCCAGAACCACACGGGGGACCTAGTGAATGACCTGCAGAGAGCTGGGAACAAAGTAACAAAGCCTACCATCAGTAACACACTACCCCCGCCAGGGACTCAAATCCTGCAGTGCCAGACGTGTCCCCCTGCTTAAGCCAGTACATGTCCAGGCCCGTCTGAAGTTTGCTAGAGTGCATTTGGATGATCCAGAAGAGGATTGGGAGAATGTCATATGGTCAGATGAAACCAAAATAGAACTTTTTGGTAAAAACTCAACTCGTCGTGTTTGGAGGACAAAGAATGCTGAGTTGCATCCAAAGAACACCATACCTACTGTGAAGTATGGGGGTGGAAACATCATGCTTTGGGGCTGTTTTTCTGCAAAGGGACCAGGACGACTGATCCGTGTAAAGGAAAGAATGAATGGGGCCATGTATCGTGAGATTTTGAGTGAAAACCTCCTTCCATCAGCAAGGGCATTGAAGATGAAACGTGGCTGGGTCTTTCAGCATGACAATGATCCCAAACACACCGCCCGGGCAACGAAGGAGTGGCTTCGTAAGAAGCATTTCAAGGTCCTGGAGTGGCCTAGCCAGTCTCCAGATCTCAACCCCATAGAAAATCTTTGGAGGGAGTTGAAAGTCCATGTTGCCCGGCGACAGCCCCAAAACATCACTGCTCTAGAGGAGATCTGCATGGAGGAATGGGCCAAAATACCAGCAACAGTGTGTGAAAACCTTGTGAAGACTTACAGAAAACGTTTGACCTGTGTCATTGCCAACAAAGGGTATATAACAAAGTATTGAGAAACTTTTGTTATTGACCAAATACTTATTTTCCACCATAATTTGCAAATATATTCATTAAAAATCCTACAATGTGATTTTCTGGATTTCTTTTTCTCATTTTGTCTGTCATAGTTGACGTGTACCTATGATGAAAATTACAGGCCTCTCTCATCTTTTTAAGTGGGAGAACTTGCACAATTGGTGGCTGACTAAATACTTGTTTTCCCCACTGTATGTGGTTTCCTGTTTATCCAAATTATCTCTTGTTTATCATTATTTTTCTCTGTTTGTGCTTTAATAATAATAATACATGGGATTTATAGAGTGCTTTTCAAGGACCCAAAGTTAAAAAAAAAAAATGAATAAAGAGAGGGGTGGCTCAAGAAAGGGAAAGCGTGTGATGTATCAGTGTATGGGGAGGGTAGGGTTGGGATTAGGATACAAACCCGGTTTAGGGTAAGGGGCGGGATTGGGGTTAGGATACAAACCCGGTTTAGGGTAAGAGGTAGGGTAAGGGTTTATGTTAAGTGGTGCTCAGTACGGTGGAGCGAGGAGTGTCACACACATACACGCAAAGCAATACTGCAAAGACACTCCTCTCCCCCCCGGGACTGAAAGATGAGGGAGGGAGTTCCAGAGCCTAGGAGCAACCCTGGAGAAAGCCCTGTCACCGAAGCGCTGGAGCTTGGACCTGGGGATGACAAGGTGGCCTGCTGTGTGGGGGTCAGAAGGAGGATCTTGTAATCAATGCGTTGGGGCAATTTCACGGTAAAGTGTACACCTGTTGTATTCGGCGCATGTGACAAATACAACTTGATTTGATTTGATAGGGGGGGGGGGGGGGGTTATGCGCTGCCTGGACTTATTGAGGGTGAGGAGTCGGGCTTTGATATTCAACACTGGTTCTTTGGTATTCAACACTGGTTCTTTGGAATTCAACACTGGTTCTTTGGTATTCAACACTGGTTCTTTGGTATTCAACACTGGTTCTTTGGTATTCAACACTGGTGCTTTGGTATTCAACACTGGTGCTTTGGTATTCAACACTGGTGCTTTGGTATTCAACACTGGTTCTTTGGTATTCAACACTGGTGCTTTGGTATTCAACACTGGTGCTTTGGTATTCAACACTGGTGCTTTGGTATTCAACACTGGTGCTTTGGTATTCAACACTGGTGCTTTGGTATTCAACACTGGTGCTTTGGTATTCAACACTGGTGCTTTGGTATTCAACACTGGTGCTTTGGTATTCAACACTGGTTCTTTGGTATTCAACACTGGTTCTTTGGTATTCAACACTGGTGCTTTGGTATTCAACACTGGTTCTTTGGTATTCAACACTGGTGCTTTGGTATTCAACACTGGTTCTTTGGTATTCAACACTGGTTCTTTGGTATTCAACACTGGTTCTTTGGTATTCAACACTGGTGCTTTGGTATTCAACACTGGTTCTTTGGTATTCAACACTGGTTCTTTGGTATTCAACACTGGTGCTTTGGTATTCAACACTGGTTCTTTGGTATTCAAGCATCAGTTGTCAGAGCACCTTACCGATCACTGCACCTGTACACAGCCCATCTGAAATTAGCCCTCCCAACTACCTCATCCCTATATTGTTATTTATTTTGCTCATTTGTACCCCAGTATCTCTATTTGCACATCATCTCTTGCACATCTATCATTCCAGTGTTAATACTAATTGTAATTATTTTGCACTATAGCCTATTTTATTGCCTTACCTCCATAACTTGCTAAATTTGCACACACTGTATATATATGTATTTCTGTTGTATTTTTGACTTTGTTTTGTTTTACCCCATATGTAACTCTGTGTTGTTGTTTTTATCGCACTGCTTTGCTTTATCTTGGCCAGGTCGCAGTTGTAAATGAGAACTTGTTCTCAACTGGTTTACCTGGTTAAATAAAGGTGAAAAAAAACAAAAAAAAAAAAAAAAAAAACAATATAGTCTGAGTGATCCTGTTGTAGACAATAACCTCCCCTCCCCTCCTCTCCCTCCTCCCCTCCTCTCCTCTCCCTCCTCTCCTCTCCTCTCCTCTCCTCTCCTCTCCTCCTCCTCTCCTCTCCTCTCCTCTCCTCTCCTCTCCTCTCCTCTCCCCTCCCCTCCTCCTCCCCTCCCCTCTCCTCCCCTCCTCTCCCTCCCCTCTCCTCTCCTCTCCTCCCCTCCCTCTCCCCTCCCCTCCTCTCCTCTCCCCTCCCCTCCCCTCCCCTCTCCTCCCCTCCTCTCCCCTCCCCTCCCCTCCTCCTCCTCCTCTCCTCTCCTCTCCTCTCCTCCCCTCCTCTCCCCCTCCTCTCCTCTCCCCTCTCCCTCTCCTCCCTCCTCTCCCCTCCTCTCCCCTCCCCTCCCCTCCTCTCTTCTACAGTCTCCATTGAGGACATCTCGGCGGTGCGTGCTGGCCGTCAATCGGATGGTCTGAGGAAGAACACAGAGGAGCCGGTGGAGGGGAGATGTTTCTCCATAATCTTCAAGGTTCTTTTAAATATTTTTTAACAACTCAATTTGCAGTATATTCAATGGAATTTCAGTCAGGCTTTATTTCGTGGTACAGTATTACAGAGATGGCAGTGGTTGGAGTTCAAGCAGAGATGGCAGTGGTTGGAGGTCAGACAGAGATTAGGTACAGCATAATCTCTCGTGGACAGACGCACGTAACATAGGGTGATATCGAAGCGTCTGTCAACAGACTGTGGGATGCGACGACTAACGAGGAACTTTGTTCCGGTGCGCAGATTTTTTTAGTCACTAATCATTTGGACAAATCACGATTTCGCAGGTGTTAGCATCTTTCGACTGTAAGAAGGGGAGGGGACATTTGGCCATGCTTTGGCTGAGAGTTTCTGTTTAGGGGGGTGGAGAGTTCTCTTGTCTCGTTAATATCTTTACTAAGAGTAAACCCCAGAACCTAATGGATCATCTGACACATTTACACAAGATTATAGTGCTGGGTTTCTGAGATTAGGTACGGCATTGCATTTACATGATCACATTTACATCACAGTTGCATTTGCCCCTCCATTATCTTTAAGGGCAGAAGAAAGAATGTGGACCTGATGGCCAGCTCTGAGGAGGAGGCCAAGCAGTGGGTCGCCAGTCTGGAGAAGATCATGTCCAACATGGGGAACGTCAACCGTCGGCAGAAGACCGAGCAGTATCCTTCTCACAGATATAGAGTCAGAACCACAGAAACAGAATCTATAGAAAGGGCTTGGAATCTCTAACTCTGGCAATTGGACTGGTAAACTCATGAGTACAATGGCTGCCAGTCCACCCGTTATGCGATCATTGACTTGAATGGGGAGGTCCGTTCTATAGATTCCATTTCCATGGTCATAACAGCCTAGTTGTGATTAGGGTACTATTTCTCAAAGTATACTTTAGTTACTAACCATTTGTTTTTGAGAAACCTGTATTCATTTGAAATTACTGAATCGATATTGTAGTGGGCAGTAATATTTGATGGTGAATATTCAGTATATTATATATACATAACATGTGACTCGTAATAAGGCTAAGGTTGTACAGGTTAGTCGAAGTAATTTGTACATGTAGGTAGGGGTAAAGTGACTATGCATAGATAATAAACATCGAGTAGCAGCAGTGTAAAAACATAAGAGGGCGGGGTCAATGTAAATAGTCCGGGTGGCCATTTGATTAATTGTTCAGCAGTCTTATAGCTTGGGGTAGAAGCTGTTAAGGAGCCTTTTGGACCTAGACTTGGCGCTCCGGTACCGCTTGCCGCGCGGTAGCAGAGAGAACAGTCTATGACTTGGGTGACTGGAGTCTTTGACAATGTTTTGGGCCTTCCTCTGACACCGCCTAGTGTATAGGTCCTGGATGGCAGGAAGCTTGGCCCCAGTGATGTATTAGGCCGTACGCACTACCCTCTGTAGCGCCTTACGGTCGGATGCTGAGCAGTTGCCATACCAGGCGGTGATGCAACCGGTCAGGATGCTCTCGATGGTGCAGCTGTAGAAGTTTTTGAGGATCTGGGGACCCATGCCAAATATTTTCAGTCTCCTGAGGGGGAATAGGCTTTGTCGTGCCCTCTTCACGACTGTCTTGGTGTGTTTGGACCATGATAGTTCGTTGGTGATGTGGACACCAAGGAACTTGAAACTCTCGACCCGCTCCACTACAGCCCCGTCGATGTGAATGGGGGCGTGTTCAGCCCTCCTTTTCCTGTAGTCCACGATCATCTCCTTTGTCTTGCTCACATTGAGGGAGAGGTTGTTCTCCAGGCACCACACTGCCAGGTCTCTGACCTCCTCCCTATAGGCTGTCTCATCGTTGTCGGTGATCAGGCGTACTACCACTGTTGTGTCATCAGCAAACTTAATGATGGTGTTGGAGTCGTGTTTGGCCATGCAATCGTGGGTGAACAGGGAGTACAGGAGGGGACTAAACACACATCCCTGAGGGGCCCCAGTGTTGAGGATCAGCGTGGCAGATATGTTGTTACTAGGGGTGTAACGATCCATCTACTACATCGATGTATCGATTTATATTCCTATGATCCAACTACATCGATCTGTGCTCGGCGAGTTGGCCTTTTGGACAACATATATCGATCTAACATCGTTTTAAAATGTAATAAATCGATTGTATCGATACTAGGAAATAACCCATTGGATTTAAGCACGTCAGACTTTATATGCAGGGGTGCACATAACTGGTACGCAGATACGCAAGCGCGACAAAAATCAGGAATGCGTAATGCCACTTGTGTTACTACGCGCCTTTGCGTACTTGACCGATCTTCTCATCTAACCTTACACATGACATGTTGCTTGTCAACTACTGTCAGGGATGTCCAAAAAGCAACAGACATTAAGCAGCTTCTTTGGCGTTTCGCCACCTACAAAGAAACGCCAACTGGAGCCAGAGCCGAAGAAAATACTTTTTTCGGAAAAGTGGCTCCAAGATGTGCAGTGGTTTGAAGCTAACGATGAGCGCACTGAAATGTGGTGCAAGATTTGCCGCTCAAATCCACATCTAGCAGACAAAACAGGTGCATTTTATAAAGGCTCAAAGAATTTCAACCATCCTTTATTTGACAAACATGAAAAGAGCAAGGAGCACACGAATGTGGCGCAAGCCATTGCTAAAAGCTAGCCGAGAATAAATGTCTAGTCGCCCATTTGCCAGATGGCGAGACAAGCTGAATGAAGAACAGCGGCAAGCTCTGTTTAATATTTTTCTCTTTCCATAAAGCTAAACACGCACGTCCCATGTCTTCCTATTCTGAGGATGTTCCTTTACTGAAGCGGCTAGGAGTAAATGTCGGAGGTGCATATCATTCACGTGAAGGGGGCACACGGATCATGCAGAGCATCGCTCACACCATCAGCGGGGAGTTACGAGCCAAGTTGCAGTCTGCTGAATTTTGGGGGCTGCTTTTTGATGGATCTGAGGACATCACAAAAACTGAGCAGGAAATAGTTTACATTGTGTCTGTGTCCAGCCACGGAGAGTTTACTTCGGACTTTATTGGACTGATTGAATTGGGTGCTGACCGAACCGCACAGGCCATAACAGACGGACTTGTGAGACTTTTCCAGGACACAGGCTTGGATGACTGGACAACAAAGTTGGTCGCTGTGTGCACAGACGGGGCTGCTGTCAACGTAGGTATCTACAACGGCGTTGTGCCAAAACTCCGGCAACATGCTGCGGGTGGAGACTCCCTTGTGCACATTCTGTGCACCGCACACACACTGGAGAATTGCACGAAATCAGCTGATCGCAACGTTCCTTACTGTGAGACATTTCATCGCTCTGTGGTCAAGCTGCTGCAGTTTTATTTACAAAAAGGTGGAGCATAAAAAACTGCTGCACTGAATAAAGCTATGTGAAGAAAATGGGATCTCCTTTGTGGAACTGGGTAAGTTTCATAATACCAGATGGTCTACATGGAGGCATGAAACACTGTTAAAAATATCAAGACTATTGCCAGCCATTAAAATGCAACTGGTTACGAGTGATAAGTGACTTGCAGCATATCTGCACAGAGCGTTTTCAGTGCTTTCTGTCAAACATGCTTGACATTTGCAACATTTTGAAGACCACATCCATTAGGTTTCAGAAGGAAAAGCTGACCATTGGAGAATGTAAGGATGAACTCATGGTGGCCATTGGACAGTTCACACTTCTGCTTGATGGTGAAAGCCACAGGGCACACACTGTTTCCAATGCTGATGCTGACAGAGACATGACACACTTACTCAGGGGGTTAATTGAAGAGTTTGAAATCAGATATGACTCCCTCAAGTCATGTGATCATTTCTTAGTATTTGATCCTTCAACATGGCCTCAGGAAATGCAAGACCTCCACAGTTTTGGAAACACAACAGTTTGCAGCATTCTCAAGAAATATGAGGCCACCTTGCAACTTGACAAAGATACCACTGTGACAGAATGGATGTGCTTAAAGCAGGCAGGAAAACGCCTGGGAGCCTCTTCTGTGTATGACTTGGTCCAAATAGTAAGTACAAGTAACCCAGATGCTTATTCCAACATCAACAAGGTGGTTAAGCTGTCTCTTACACTGCCTTTAAGCAGTGCAGCTTGTGAGAGGGGATTCTCACATCTCAACATAATAAAAACCAAGTACAGATCTTGTCTGTCACATGCTCGTCTCTCAGCCCTGATGCACATTCACCTGTCAAAGCAGACCACAGAGACATTTGACCCAAAGCTTGCTGTTGATCTGTGGATGGAGACAGCTAATCGGAGGCTCAACCAAGGACAGGGAGGTGTATCTGCAGCATCTTCATCTACCATGCAGGAAGCTGAAGCAGAGGACAGTGGGGGGCGACACTGAAGAGGACAGTGAGGAAGACTGTACTTATTAAGACCACGCTACATATGGGGTGAGTACCAGACACCATCTGCTGGTACTCACCTGAGTAACTCACTGAAAAAGGTATGTGCACCCCTGTTTATATGGATGTTTTTTCTTAGCACTTTTAATGATAAAGGCTTTAAACATTACTCGATTCAGTCTGCCTATCCGTGACGTCATCGCGCCAGCAGCAGCGCAAAGGCACCAAGACAACAAAACATAGCATGGCGGACGACAGAGGAGAAGGCGACGAGCGAGAAATTATCAAGCCACCATTGCGGTCCTTACAAGAAACAGGAATCTAGGAAACTTCACCTGCACTGTCCAGTATCCAGGTATTTATTTCAGTCACACTGGTTGAATTTTTGGCTAAAAGGTTACTGAATCGATTTCAAGTCACTGAATCGTTTCGGATCGTATCGTTCTAAATGAACCAATATCGTCCTTGAATCGTATCGACAACCACGAATCGTGATACAAATCGAATCGTTGTTAAAATGAATCGTTACACCCCTAGTTGTTACCTACCCTTACCACCTGGGGGCGGCCCGTCAGGAAGTCCAGGATCCAGTTGCAGAGGGAGGTGTTTAGTCCCAGGGTCCTTAGCTTAGTGATGAGCTTTGTGGGCACTATGGTGTTGAACGCTGAGCTGTAGTCAATGAACAGCATTCTCACATAGGTGTTCCTTTTGTCCAGGTGGGAAAGGGCAGTGTGGAGTGTGATTGAGTTTGCGTCATCTGTGGGGCAGTATGCAAATTGGAGTGGGTCTAGGGTTTCTGGTATGATGTTGTTGACGTGAGCCATGACCAGCATTTCAAAGCACTTCATGTCTACCGAGTGCTACGGGGCGGTATTCATTTAGGCAGGTTACCTTCACTTCCTTGGACACAGGGACTATGGTGGTCTGCTTGAAACGTGGGTATTACAGACTCGGTCAGGGAGGGGTTGAAAATGTCATTGAAGACACTTGCCAGTTGGTCTGCGCATGCTCTGAGTACACGCCCTGGTAATCCGTCTGTCCCCGCGGCCTTGTGAATGTTGACCTGTTTAAAGGTCTTACTCACATCAGATACGGAGAGCGTGATCACACAGTCATCCGGAACAGCTGGGGCTCTCATGCATGCTTCAGTGTTGCTTGCCTCGAAGCGAGCATAGAAGGCATTTAGCTCGTCTGGTAGGCTTGCATCACTGGGCAGCTTGCGGCTGTGCTTCCCTTTGTAGTCCGTAATAGTTTGCAAGCCCTACCACATCCGACGAGCATCAGAGCCGGTGTAGTAGTCAATCTTAGTCCTGTATTGACGCTTTTTCTGTTTGATGGTTTGTCTGAGGGCATAGCGGGATTTCTTAGAAGCATCCAGATTAGTGTCCCGCTCCTTGAAAGCGGAAGCTCTAGCCTTTAGCTCGGTGCTGATGTTGCCTGTAATCCACATCATCGATGCACATATTGATGAAGCCGGTGATTGAGGTGGTATACTCCTCAATGCCATTGGATGAATCCGGGAACATATTCCAGTCTGTACTAGAAAAACAGTCCTGTAACGTAGCATCCGCTTCATCTGACCACTTCCATATTGAACGAGTCACTGGTGCTTCCTGCTTTAGTTTTTGCTTGTAAGCAGGAATCAGGAGGATAGAATTATGGTCAGATTTGCCAAATAGATGGCGAGGGAGAGCTTTGTATGCGTCTCTGTGTGTGGAGTAAAGGTGGTCTAGAGTTTTTTTTCCCTCTGGTTGCACATGTGACATGCTGGTAGAAATGAGGTAAAACGGATGTAAGTTTGCCAGCATTAAAGTCCCCGCTTCTGGATGAGCGTTTTCTTGTTTGCTTATGGCCTTATACAGCTCGTTGAGTGTGGTCTTAGTGCCAACATCGGTTTGTGGTGGTAAATAGACGGCTACGAATAATATAGATGAAAACACTCTTGGTAGATAGTGTGCTCTACAGCTTATCATGAGGTACTCTACCTCAGGCGAACAATACCTCGAGACTTCGTTAATATTAGACATCGCGCACCGGCTGTTATTGACAAATAGACACACACCCCCGCCCCTCGTCTGACCAGATGTAGCTGCTCTGTCCTGCCGATGCACAGAAAACCCAGCCAGCTCTATATTATCCATGTCGTCCTTCAGCCACAACTCAGTGAAACATAAGATATTACAGTTTTTAATGTGCCGTTGGTAGGATAGTCTCGATCGTAGATCATCGAGTTTGTTTTCCAGTGATTGCACGTTGGCCAATAGAACCGATGGTAATGGCGATTTACTCACTCGCCTACGAATCCTAACAAGGCACTATGGTACAGCAATTACCATCGGTTCTATTGGCCAACGTGCAATCACTGGAAAACAAACTCGATGATAAATGTATTTAATTACTTTGTAAAATGAATGGATTCACATACAAGGCATAAAACGTACGTTATAAAGCATTAACAAGCATTACAAGGCATTATTCTAAGCATGGTCAGAGAGAGAGAGAGAGAAACCATAGCCTGAAAGGCCATGCCCCAAAAGTCCATGGAGTGGAGAGAGAGAGAGAGAGAGAGAGAGAGAGAGAGAGAGAGAAGAGAGAGAGAGAGAGTGAGAGGAAGAGAGAGAAAGAGAGAGAGTGAAAGAGAGAGAAAGAGAGAGAGAGTGAAAGAGAGAGAAAGAAAGAAAGAGAGAGAGAAAGAGAGAGAGAGAGAGAGAGAGAGTGAGTATCTCACCACAGCAGGTCAGGAACAAATAAGAAAATAAAAATGAATCTTAGACCCTTTTATAAGCATCTGAGTTGTTGACCAATAGTATTACTGTAAAGTTAACCACCAATCAGATATCAGACCTATATGATGTAACCTCTGCTTCTCAGAGTTGAGACAATGGGGGTTGACAAGACAACACAGAGAATGGTGAATTCCTAAGACAGCACAGAGAATGCTGAATTCCTAAGACAGCACAGAGAATGCTGAATTCCTAAGACAGCACAGAGAATGCTGAATTCCTAAGACAGCACAGAGAATGCTGAATTCCTAAGACAGCACAGAGAATGCTGAATTCCTAAGACAACACAGAGAATGCTGAATTCCTAAGACAGCTCAGAGAATGCTGAATTCCTAAGACAGCACAGAGAATGCTGAATTCCTAAGACAACACAGAGAATGCTGAATTCCTAAGACAGCACAGAGAATGCTGAATTCCTAAGACAGCACAGAGAATGCTGAATTCCTAAGACAGCACAGAGAATGCTGAATTCCTAAGACAGCACAGAGAATGCTGAATTCCTAAGACAACACAGAGAATGCTGAATTCCTAAGACAGCACAGAGAATGCTGAATTCCTAAGACAGCACAGAGAATGCTGAATTCCTAAGACAACACAGAGAATGCTGAATTCCTAAGACAACACAGAGAATGCTGAATTCCTAAGAAAACAGAGGAGATTATAGTATACAGTAGATACAGTAGATAAGGAACCCTCTTGTAGAAATACTGGCTGAGCAGGCTTTTGCTCTAGCCCTACACAAACACGTAATTAAACTAGTGTGGCTGGAACAAAACTGTTATGTGAATTATTTAACAAACTATTTCAGTTTCTCTGTGCGTCTCCCAAAAGGTTGTAAGTCTTTTGGGATTAAGTAACGGCCAGAGTCCCGGTCTGCATAGTCAGAGATATTTATTCATTGAGAATTCTGCCATCACAATTTCAGAGTCCATCTTTTATACTCATACGTCATACAAAAAAATCCCTCCCCTCTGTAGGAGGGCTGTAGTTTTCCACTCTAAAACTGCTCTACTGACCATCAGTTCACACACACACACACACACATATACACACATGCATACACACATACACACACACACACACATACCCTACTCCCTGCATTACTCAGTTATTGCCGTTCTCACAATATTCTGCACCATGTTTTCATAACAGTTTCTCCCCTCCCTAAATTGGGAGGCCTCTTAATCTTAGTTTCTCAGTTGTCTTTGTTGTCTGGCCTAACTCTTACTCACATTGCTAAATAGTGGCTCAATGCCATAGCCTTTACTGGTCATACACTCACACATTTCTAACACATTATACACAGTTTCAGGGTGTAATAATTAGTCATTAATAATTAATCTATCAATTCCACCCTTTGACTAAATATTACACACATACAAAATATATGTTGTTATATAAATGAATCACACTCATTGAAGTATATAAGTTGGTTTGCATATAAAAACATTACAGGTTCATCAGGGTTACCCCATGATTAAAAGCGTAACGTTACTTTTTAGCAATGGTAACTAGTACATCATACTTAAAATGAGACTTTAATACACAAAAGATCATTACAATAACTTTTTAACTAGAGATTTATAGTTCTAGGAAAACATCCAGTCTCAAACTGGATCGTCGTCGTCCTCCACCAAGCCTGGTAGGTCATATCCTTCATTCCTTAGGTCGGAGTCCAGGATTGGGCCGTATCTCACCATCTGTTGGGAAACCACCTTCTCCATCTCCTTTTCTCACCAACCCTCAGACACAGGGAATAAGACAACATCCACAAAGAACAAGTATACCCATAGAAGCTATAACTTCACCCAGAATAGTTACAACAATAGTTTTCCATTTACCAAATATGTTATCAAACCAACCGTTTATGGAGCTATCAATACGAGAGTTCTCAGCCAGTTCGTTAGCCAGCGTGGTTAGTCCCTGAAGTGCTTTGGTCACGGACCCGTCCGGTGCTGTATTGTTTGGGGATGAAAGTACAGCACATAGATCCAAACAGAACACAAACTCCGCCCCGCTCAGCCAAAAGCATATCTAAAGCTATTCTATTCTGCCATGTCATTAAGCTAGTTACCACTGTCTGCTCAGCTAATCCCTTTATTGCATCACGAGTGTGGTTTATAAATCTTCGCTGGTTATAATAAATATAATTCATCCAATCTACGCTTTTATTAATTGTTGACCACCAGAAAATACTTGATTCAAACCCAGCTGCGATCTGATTCCTAGCTTTGAATTCTTCTGGAACCCCTCGAGGTACTCCTATCCCATCAATATATATCCTTTCATCAAAGGATCCCGGGAGGAGGTCCCACTTTCTACGTGACAACTCACCAGTCTCTGACACATTTGATTGTTTGCGTATGTAGGCGAGTTCACAATCTGTTATCACCATACAACCATCAGATGCCAGCACGGGCCTGGTTTTGGGTCCTAAAATCCTCTGGCTGCAACAATGAGGAGAGATTAGTCATGGTCTCTTTAGTTGTGACATTCTCTGTGTGGGAGCAGGAGCTAAGATGCCCTACCCTGTATCCTATCTTATTAGTCCTAGAAAAACAATAATAATCCCCTGAGACTTCAAACGGAGGCAACCTAGGTCGGGGTGACTTTGTTATGGGGGATACAGATAGTGCAAGTTACCATAAGACTCCTTCACCACATTCCCAGGTGGCTTGAACAATTTAATAATGGAGGATAAACCTGACAGAGAGTCAAAGCCTGTCAATGTCAACGGGTGCTGAAGGTGGGTGTGGTGCAGGAATCAAGCGCAGGACGCAGAAACTAAGTCCAAAAGACTTTAGTGAAATATTCACGTAGTACACGAGCCCAACAAGCCCGGAGGCGAAATAAAGACGCACACAGGCGTCAAACAAAAGGCGCACTAACATGTGCGAAAAACCTCTCGAAACAACGGAGGGAAACACGTAGCACAGAACATCAAACAGAAGCGTAATCACACACAACACCTGACACACACAACGAGAACTAAATAGGACACTAATGAAGACTAACTAGAAACAGGTGTACAACATCAAGACAAAACCAAACGAACATGAAACATACAACGGTGGCAGCTAGTACTCCGGGGACGACGACCGCCGAAACCTGCCCGAGCAAGGAGGAGGAGCAGCCTCGGCCGAAACCGTGACAGTACCCCCCCTTGACGCGCGGCTCCAGCCCTGGCCTCGGGGACGACCAGGAGGACGCGGAGCAGGGCGCGTGGGATGGCCCCGGTGGAACTCCGACAGGAGAGACGGGTCTAGGATGTCCCTCCACGGCACCCAGCACCGCTCCTCCGGGCCGTACCCCTCCCACTCCACGAGATACTGGAGACCCCCCATCCGACGTCTTGAGTCCAAGATGGACCGAACGGTGTACGCCGGAGCCCCCTCGATGTCCAGTGGGGGCGGAGGAGTCTCTCCTATCTCACCTTCCTGGAGTGGACCAGCTACCACCGGCCTGAGAAGAGACACATGGAACGAGGGGTTAATATTCTTATATTCAATAGGCAGATGTAACCTATAACACACCTCGTTCAGTCTTCTCAGGACTTTAAAAGGCCCCACAAACCGCCGACCCAGCTTCCGGCAGGGCAGGCGGAGGGGCAGGTTTCTGGTTGAGAGACAGACTCGATCTCCGGGTGCGTACACCGGCCCCTCACTGCGGTGGAGATCGGCGCTCGCCTTGTGTCGACGGATGGCCCGCTGCAGGTGGACGTGTGCAGCGTTCCACGTCTCCTCCGAGCGCCTCATCCAATCATCCACCGCAGGGGCCTCGATCTGGCTCTGCTGCCAAGGTGCCAGAACCGGCTGGTAACCTAACACACATTGGAAGGGGGTTAGGTTGGTAGAGGAGTGGCGGAGAGAGTTCTGGGCCATCTCGGCCCAGGGAATATACCGAGCCCACTCCTCCGGCCGGTCCTGGCAATACGACCTCAGAAACCTACCCACATCCTGGTTGACTCGTTCTACCTGCCCATTGCTCTCCGGGTGGTACCCCGAGGTAAGGCTCACCGAGACCCCCAAACGCTCCATGAACGCTCTCCAGACTCGGGAGGTAAACTGGGGGCCTCGATCAGACACTATATCCTCGGGTACCCCGTAATGCCGGACGTGGGTAAATAGTGCCTCTGCGGTCTGTAGGGCAGTAGGAAGACCCGACATAGGGAGAAGACGACAGGCCTTAGAGAACCGGTCCACAACGACCAGGATGGTGGTATTCCCCTGAGAGAGGGGAAGGTCTGTCACAAAATCCACGGAGAGGTGGGACCATGGTCGTTGTGGAACGGGCAGGGGTTGTAACTTACCCCTGGGCAGGTGTCTGGGCGCCTTACACTGGGCGCACACCGAGCGGGAGGAGACATAAACCCTCACATCCCTGGCTAACGTGGGCCACCAGTATTTAGTGCTAAGACAATGCACTGTCCGGCCAATACCCGGATGTCCAGAGGAGGGTGACGTGTGAGCCCAGTAAACGAGTCGATCCCGAACCTCGAGCAGAACGTACTTCCGACCCACAGGACACTGTGGAGGGCTAGGGTCGGCACGCAACGCCCGCTCGATTTCAGCATCGACCTCCCACACAACCGGTGCCACAAGATAAGACGCCGGTAGTATGGGAGTAGGCTCAACGGACCTCTCCTCCGTGTCATACTGCCGGGACAGCGCATCTGCCTTACCGTTCTGGGACCCAGGGATGTACGTGATTTTAAATACGAACCTGGCGAGAAACATACTCCATCGAGCCTGGCGAGGGTTCAGTCTCCTCGCTGCCCGGATGTACTCCAGGTTCCGATGGTCAGTCAAAATGAGGAAAGGGTGTTGAGCCCCCTCAAGCCAATGCCTCCACACCTTAAGGGCCTGAACTACAGCTAACAGCTCCCTGTCCCCGACGTCATAATTACGCTCCGCCGGGCTGAGCTTTTTAGAGTAAAAAGCACAGGGGCAGAGTTTAGGTTGCGTGCCGGACCGTTGAGAGAGTACGGCCCCGATACCGGCCTCAGACGCGTCCACCTCGACCTGAAAGGGTAAGGCGGGATCCGGATGCGCCAGCACCGGAGCCGACGTAAACAGGTCCTTCAGTCTCCCAAAGGCCCTGTCCGCCTCAGCTGACCACTGCAGGCGCACCGGACCCCCTTTCAGAAGGGACGTGATGGGAGCTGCCACCTGTCCAAAACCCCGGATAAACCTCCGGTAGTAATTCGCAAAGCCCAAGAACTGCTGCACCTCTTTGACAGTGGTTGGGGTTTGCCAATTACACACGGCTGACACACGGTCCACCTCCATTCTCACCCCTGACGCGGACAACCGATAACCCAAAAAGGAGACCGACTCCTGGAAAAACAGACATTTCTCTGCCTTGACATACAGGTCGTGCTCCAACAGCCTCCTCAATACACGACGCACCAGGGCTATATGCTCAGCTCGGGTAGACGAGTACACTAGAATGTCATCAATGTACACGACCACCCCTTGCCCCTGCATATCCCGGAAAATCTCATCCACGAAGGATTGGAAGACTGATGGAGCATTCATCAACCCGTATGGCATGACGAGATACTCGAAATGACCCGACGTGGTACTAAACGCTGTTTTCCATTCGTCGCCCTCCCTAATGCGCACCAAGTTATACACGCTCCTGAGATCCAGTTTTGTGAAAAACCGCGCTCCGTGCAATGACTCCGTCATGGTCGCAATCAGAGGGAGTGGATAACTGTATTTCACAGTAATCTGATTGAGACCACGGTAATCAATGCACGGGCGCAACCCTCCATCTTTTTTCTTCACAAAAAAGAAGCTTGAGGATGCGGGAGAAGTGGAGGGCCGTATGTATCCCTGTCTCAAAGATTCGGCTATGTAAGTCTCCATAGCTTTTCTCTCCTTTCTCTAGCGCCAGCACCCCCGAGCTCCATAGGGCTCGGCTCGGAGGTGCTGGAGGGTGGAATGGACGGACCCCACTCGGGACGTCCACGGGTGGCCAGCAGGGTGTCCAGACGGATGGACATGTCGACCAACTGGTCGAAGGTGAAATTGGTGTCCCTGCAGGCCAACTCACGTTGAACGTCCTCCCGTAGGCTACATCGAAAATGGTCGATGAGGGCCCGTTCATTCCACCCTGCGTCTGCCGCTAGAGTCCGGAAATCCAGTGCGAACGCCTGTGTGCTCCTCCTCCCCTGTCTCAGGTAGAATAGACGCTCCCCCGCCGCTTTGCCCTCAGGTGGATGGTCGAACACGGCCTTGAAGCGAAGGGAGAACTCTGCGTAGGAGATGGTGGTGGCGTCTATCCTCCTCCACTCGGCGTTGGCCCATTCCAACGCCTTGCCCGTGAGACAGGAGATGAGTGCGGAAACGCTCTCGTGTCCCGAGGGCACCGGGTGTACAGTGGCCAGGTAGAGCTCCACCTGCAGGAGGAACCCCTGACACCCGGCAGCTGTGCCGTCATACGCCCTCGGGAGCGAGAGCCGAATCCCACTGGGTTCCGGACCTGGGACTGGTGGACCGGCCGATGGGGGTGGCAAGGTAGGTGGAGGTGTGGGTACCCCTCTGGACTCCCATCGGTGCAGGGTGTTGATGACATCCTGTAGAGCGGTCCCCAGTTGTCTGATCTGGTCATCCTGGCCGCGGACATGCTCCTCCAGCGACTCAGGTGTGGCTGTTGCTCCTGCTGATTCCATTATATATGGTGTGTGATTCTGTCAACGGGTGCTGAAGGTGGGTGTGGTGCAGGAATCAAGCGCAGGACGCAGAAACTAAGTCCAAAAGACTTTAGTGAAATATTCACGTAGTACACGAGCCCAACAAGCCCGGAGGCGAAACAAAGGCGCACACAGGCGTCAAACAAAAGGCACACTAACATGTGCGAAAACCTCTCCAAACAACGGAGGGAAACACGTAGCACAGAACACCAAACAGAAGCGTAATCACACACAACACCTGACACACACAACAAGAACTAAATAGGACACTAATGAAGACTAACTAGAAACAGGTGTACAACATCAAGACAAAACCAAACGAACATGAAACATACAACGGTGGCAGCTAGTACTCCGGGGACGACGACCGCCGAAACCTGCCCGAGCAAGGAGGAGGAGCAGCCTCGGCCGAAACCGTGACAGTCAAGGGGAACGGAGTAGTTGTTAACCTTGGTTTGGCTGTCCCACAGGCATAACAGTCCTCTTTAGACATAGTTCTTGCCGTATACTGAATCCATTCCAACCACAGGTTAGGATCTCCACTCCCCGTCTCCACCTGTACTACTTCCACAGCCCCGGTCTCACTACCTCCCTCAGAGAGGTTTACTCTATAGGGTGCCCCAGTTGAAGAGGATATCTCACTTGTCAGGTCTGTAACCTGTTTTAGCGTATTTCAGACTTTCAGACAGTACCTACCCTTATATGGGTCGCACTGCCATTTCTGGTAATTCCCTACTTTCACAATACTACACCTGTCCTTAAACTGTGTATGGAGATTGACATATCCCCCCCCCGTTCGGTATGAGCAACTACATAGTCCCAGGATGTACATGGTGACATACATATGGTGATGTCCTTCCCTAAAGTCCCTAGTACTTCCCCTTTCCCTACGTCTAGCTGTCTCCTATGCCTTCGTAGACTGTGCTCAGGTATTATTTTATCAACTTGTGTTAGGTTAACTACTACTTCTGGCTGATCAGGAGGGCCTGAGTGTGTTAGGAATATGGCCCCCACAATCAGACAGCTACCTACCGTCAGGAGACCTGTGAATCCCCACCCTCGCCCTGAGAACATGTCAGACGCCAGAGGTCAACCCATTGCTTCACCTTCTATCGAACTCACACAAGGATGATCAGACAGGGTAAGGGAATCTTCGTTAAGGAGCCAACCCCCGAGCCCTAGTGGTGATCGGTTCTTTCTCCTAACTCTGTGTTTGTTCGTCAGGTGTAACTGGGTTTACCTTTTTGCAGTGTCTGACATGCACCCAGATGGATCTCTCAGCTATTCTGCTGGCAAAGGCAGTAACCAATTGGACTTGGTAGGGCCCTTCCCAACAGGCCTGCTTCCAGTTTTTCTTCTTTTAGGGACTGGATGCTCACCAGTCTCCTGGTTAGATAGAGTGGGTCACCTTCTCCTTTAGTTCACCTGTGGGGCACAAAACCTCTGACATACGGGTGTGGTTAATAAATTATCTTCTCACGTGTTCTGCTAGGGTGCTCTCTAGTTCTATGTCTGCCTGTCTGGTCCTGCCAACTGTGGCATTCTGTAAGGTCTTCCAAACACTTTCTCAAAGGGGGATAACCCATCTTTATCTGGGGTTACTCTAAATTTCTTTCCTTCACTCCGTGATAACTCTATAAAATCAATTTCCAATTGCTGGAAAGGGTACTTAGCCGGAGGATACTCTCCCTGAGGTGCCCTTTGTCTGCCCTGGTGATTATTTTGAGCACAGATAACACATCTTGAACAATTATTATTATTATTTCTTTTTTATAATTAGTAATCCCATGTGCAACAAAGTGTTGTCTAATCTGTTCTACCATCCATCACTCCTTTTGACACATGTCACTGCCCATGTGTCAATATTACCACCTACCTAAACAATCACTTAGGTAATATTGGTAATTTATCATCCAATTGCCATCCCTTATTTTTATTTATTGGTAAAATAAACTATCTTAAAGTCCTCCTCTCATGCCTTTAGAATTTACCAGTGTGGATGATTAATTAACACCAGAAAGTTAAAACAGAGTTCAGAGGCAATTGAAATTCCATCCCATAGTATACCAAACATTACCATTATTCTAAATATTTAATAAATGTTACTTATCCCAAGTGTTCATTAAGTCCTCATGACATTCATTCTCATAAGAAATCATATATACCCCAAACTCAGTCAAAACCGAAAACTCCATAAAATTCACTGTGCGTGCTCCTCCAAGACCTATCACCCTTGACCTGCTGAACCCCCCCAAAATTGAAACAACAAGGCTTTATAAACATCATACTAGGTGTGTTGTTTTTTATTTGAAAACCACAATTAAAAAACAACAACCAAACAGCCAGGTCATGAGGACTCCTGATTTCTCTCTTCCCCTTCTGCCTACAGTTTCTTAACTGGTGCCCTTTCCTTGCACAGTAACTACACGGTTCCTCACATTCTCTAGCAAAATGTCCCGTTTTGTCACAATTGTAACACTTCCACTCACTCCTGTCTCCACTATTACCATTTCCTTCTTGTCTGTCTTTGCTACCGTAACCTCTCTTCTCTCCTAGGTATTGACTAATAGTCTCACTGTCTCTAATTCAACACAAAACCCCATCATCAAATGTACTCCCAGCAGAACTGAAAAAAAATTAAACAGACTGTGATTTCCAGGACACTGCACCTTTGTTTCTGGCCTCACTATCTCCCCGGGAATTGGCCCTCCCTCAAGGTCCCTCCCAATCTGCTCTTGGTAAACTGCAAACCTTTTATTGCTTCTGGTTTCATAGGGTATTGCTTCTGATATGGCCTATGATTAGATTTGGGTATCACCTGTACTGGAATTACCCCTTTTATTAATCCTACGTCTGCTGGACCCCGGGACCACAAATGCTCTGGAACTTCTTTTAAGTCTGACTCCTGTTGTTCTGTCAACAGGTATTCCTCTCCTCAGCATCTGCTATTCTCATCTAAATGTACTATCTGTGGATGGGCTGTGTTGATCGCCACTCACAATATTGATCCAATCAGTGATCCTCTTACCCTTGGATACCCACTGGCCCATGTCTTTCCAGTCTTCTGCTGGCTCCTTTGCTAGGGACACATGTGGGCTCCCTCTTTCCCTGAACTTTGGGGCCCTAGTTCCACCTCCACTGCTGCGTGGGTGTTGTCATAGTGAAACCATTTCAAGGCTATAGTCCTTTCTGTGGTTTTAAATAATGCTTCCTCATAGATTGCATCTGGACCTGGGTGTTTGTTATACCAGAGAGTACAGTGTAGGTCATCGGGGGACATTTTAGTGGGGCCTGGTACTACATCACCAGCAAGTTCCATCAAGGTTTGGGGAATATCAGTTATTCCCCCCCTTAACAAATCTTGCCTATACCAATAACATGGCACCCCTTCCCCACAGACCACCATATTGTCTCTGACTATGTGTACTTTCATTCCCCTCTCAGTGGAAATGACGGCCACATTCAATTTAGTCATTACATCACGTCCTAGTAAATTTACCGGACACAGCTTAGATATCAGGATGGGAATGGTTGCCTCTCATCCTGATTGGTCATGTTTTAGGGTTATTGGGGCTGATAACCTTTCAATACATTGATAAACAGAGGCAGATCGCACTATGATTTTCTCCCCATCAATCCTGACTCCATCTGGCTTGTCTGTTGCACAGATTGCTGTCCTGCAGGCTCCCGTATCACAAAGGAATTTAATTTTCTTACCCATTACTGTCAATGTCAAATAAGGTTTCTGTTCCTGTTGAAGTGCTAAGTCAATAGTAGCCAATTCAAACACCTCACAATTTTGATCAAAAGGGTTCCTTAGTCTTCCCCTCACTAGAGTCTACTCTTTCTCCCTCACGCTCAAAGCTGGGGGATGGACGTCTGTTAGGCTTCTCTCTTTTCTCTCCCCGGTTTCCCTTCTTGCCCTCTCCTTTATGTTTGCATCGGGAAAAGTTATGGCCTATCTTGCCACAGTATTTACACGGGGCCTCACATTCTTTGGCGAAGTGCCCTCCCTTGTTACAGTTAAAGCCCCTATTCTCCCCCCCCCCCCCCCCCCCCCCCCCCGTGGCCTTCACTCTTTCCTGCCTTATCTCCTCTCTCTCCTAAGTTTCTAGTTCTACCCGCCATCTCTCCCAGAGTGGCAATTAGTTACTCTGCATCTTCCTCTTCTTTCTTGGCTCTGTCCTGTCTGTTATTCTGCTCATGATGGGTTGCATGTCTCTCTGAGGCTATTACACAATTCAGTTGTTTTCCCAACATACTCTCCGTGATCGGCCCATGGCAAAAGTGTCCTCTGGGCATCCCCTGAAACCCACTGCCCTCTAACGGCAGCCCAAACCTTACTATTCCTGTTTCGGGGTGGGCCATTCCTTCTACCGCTCTGGCCACGTCCTCTGTGTTCATGGCCTGTCTGCTAAATGGCATATTATTATTATTACTGTATACATCTAAGGTTGCTGGGGCCCCTTTCATTCCCCGCCAATAGATTAGGTAAGGCTATCAGTGGGTACTGGCCCCCTCCTACTCTCTCTCTCTCACTGCTTCTTTCTCCTTTACACACCTTATGTATCTGTTTAAGCATGGATTCGAGTTTATCTGCGTCTAGACGTCCCTCAAAACCATACCTCTCCCAACACCTGGTTACATAATGGAGATTTATTCTATCCCTGGATTCCATTTTAATTACATCAAGTATTTCTCGTCCCCAGTAAATTCTGGGACCTCTTGTGAGGATTTGCCCCCCATGGTTGGTACTGTTAAAAATCCCTTAGCCACCTCTTCTATATAACAAGTCAATTTAACAAGTAATTCAAAATAGCTTCACACAACAACACCTTGAATCACCCCTTCCTGTATATGTAATCTTGACTAGTCCCCCAGAATTATCTCATACTTTTACAGAGGGATTTATCCCCACAATGTAATCTTGATAATTCCTGACAGTCTCATACAACAGGAATGGGTTCTCCCTCCTCTATACAACCACCTGGAATTATTAATAAATGTGACTTTTGAGCAAACATTAGGTCTCACACGTATACAACCTTACATGATTATTGGTGTTATATCGGTAGCCTGGAGTTTATAAGGCTCCAGAACGGATAGAGTTACAGCAAAATCTACAGTTGTTTGTGACTTTTGACTTTACTAATATTATATTTCTCACACATGCTATTTTAATTCCTTCTGGTGTACTTTTTGTATTTGTTTAACCCGGATTATTTGTTGACTGTTCAATAATCTCTTACAGGTTCCATCCCATAGGTGTACTTTTAATAGTTCCTTCTATTTCAACACCGGGTAGTTTCTTTTGGTAATGGCCTATTACCGTGAATCATTACGGACCCACCAACAGGTTGACTAGTCCCCCAGAATTATCTCCTACTCTACGGAGGAGTCTATCCTCACAATGTAATCTTGATAATTCCTGACAGTCCCCTACATTTCACTTAAAATGGCTACGCATTGATCAATTTGCTACTTATCAATATTTTAGCAAGTTCTCAAATCAATTTCACCAAGTAATGAATAAAGACTACTGACCTTATCCTTGCAGCCGAGATTCAATGTAGGTTTGGATTCCGTCACCGTCTCTGTCATTAATCAGGTGTCCTCTGGCCTGTTTTAACCCTTAATGTCAAAGGGCAGGACTTTCTATTTACCAATGTATCAATCGCCCGTCGACGGTTTTCAGAGTTACCTGGAATGACAGAAACAGGGTATTGGAGTCCGGCTCAGAAGGACCAAGCTGTTATGTGAATTATTTAACAAACTATTTCAGTTTCTCTGTGCGTCTCCCAAAAGGTTGTAAGTCTTTTGGGATTTAAGTAACGGCCAGAGTCCCGGTCTGCATAGTCAGAGATATTTATTCATTGAGAATTCTGCCATCACAATTTCAGAGTCCATCTTTTATACTCATACGTCATACAAAAAAAATCCCTCCCCTCTGTAGGCGGGCTGTAGTTTTCCACTCTAAAACTGCTCTACTGACCATCAGTTCACACACACACACACACACACACACACATATACACACATGCATACACACACACACACACACACATACCCTACTCCCTGCATTACTCAGTTATTGCCGTTCTCACAATATTCTGCACCATGTTTTCATAACAGTTTCTCCCCTCCCTAAATTGGGAGGCCTCTTTATCTTAGTTTCTCAGTTGTCTTTGTTGTCTGGCCTAACTCTTACTCACATTGCTAAATAGTGGCTCAATGCCATAGCCTTTACTGGTCCTACACTCACACATTTCTAACACATTATACACAGTTTCAGGGTGTAATAATTAGTCATTAATAATTAATCTATCAAAAACCCTGCAGAAGGGTAGATGCAGGAGGGCTGGCCACCTCTTTGCAGTAGGTAATGATACTTATCATAAACACTAACAGTAACCCATATCAGCATGCTGTGCCCAAATGATATGGTGAGTTCAGTCCTTACATTGACCCTTCTTCAGTTGGATCTTCAACTGCATGAGGAAAGCAGACAAGAACAGTGACGCCAAGCTGAGTCAGAAGGAGCTGAAGGACTTCCTGCACCAGATCAACATCGAGGTGGACGATGAATACGCAGAGAAGCTCTTCCAGGTGAACACTTGAATTAGACTTTATTTTATTGTATAATTACATAACTTTTATAATTCTCAGAAAAACAACATCTAAGAGCTCAAATCCTCTTCCAGGTGAACACATCATAATATAAAATATGACTTCAAATGTAGAGGCCTTGTGCACAGCAGTGCGTCTCTAAGGTGCTTGTTCTTGAGGGAAAACTTTGTCTTCTGTCTTTCCCACTCCACCTCCAAGACAGACAAGGAGGCAGGGTCAGGTGTCAGGGGTCAGGGGGCAGGGGTCAGGGGGCAGGAACAGGGGCAGGGGGCAGGGGGCAGGGGGCATGGTCAGGAGGCAGGGTCAGGGGACAGGGTCAGGAGGCAGAGTCAGGAGGCAGGGTCAGGAGGCGGCAGGGTCAGGGGGCAGGGGTCAGGTGGCAGGAACAGGGTCAGCAGGGGGCAGGGGGCAGGAGGCAGGTGGGCATGGTCAGGAGGCAGGGTCAGGAGGCAGAGTCAGGAGGCAGGGTCAGGTGTCAGGGTCAGGTGTCAGGGTTAGGAGGCAGGGGTCAGGAGGCAGGAGGCAGGGTCAGGAGGCAGGGGTCAGGGGCAGGGGGGCAGGAGGCAGGGGCAGGGGGCATGGTCAGGAGCAGGGTCAGGAGGCAGGGTCAGGGGACAGGGTCAGGAGGCAGAGTCAGGAGGCAGGGTCAGGTGTCAGGAACAGGGGCAGGAGGCAGGGTCAGGGGACAGGGTCAGCAGGCAGGGTCAGGGGTCAGGATCAGGAGGCAGGGTCAGGAGGCAGGGTCAGGAGGCAGGGGTCAGGATCAGGAGGCAGGGTCAGGTGGCAGGGTCAGGAGGCAGGGGTCAGGGGTCAGGAGGCAGGGGACGGGTCAGGAGGCAGGGGCAGGAGCAGGGGACAGGGTCAGGAGGCAGGGGGCAGGAGGCAGGGGACAGGGTCAGGAGGCAGGGGGCAGGGGACAGGTCAGGAGGCAGGGGGCAGGAGGCAGGGGCAGGGGGCAGGTCAGGAGGCAGGGACAGGGGTCAGGAGGCAGGGGTCAGGGGTCAGGAGGCAGGGGGCAGGAGGCAGGGGTCAGGGGTCAGGAGGCAGGGGCAGGGGGCAGTGTCAGGAGGCAGGGGTCAGGTGGCAAGGTCAGGGGACAGGGTTAGGAGTCAGGGTCAGGAGGCAGGGTCAGGAGGCAGGGGTCAGGAGGCAGGGTTAGGAGGCAGGGGTCAGGAGGCAGGGTCAGGAGGCAGGGTCAGGAGGCAGGGTCAGGAGGCAGGGGTCAGGAGGCAGGGTCAGGAGGCAGGGGGCAGGGTCAGGAGGCAGGGGTCAGGAGGCAGGGTCAGGAGGCAGGAGGCAGGGGTCAGGAGGCAGGGGGCAGGGTCAGGAGGCAGGGGTCAGGAGGCAGGGTCAGGAGGCAGGGGGCAGGGGTCAGGAGGCAGGGGGCAGGGTCAGGAGGCAGGGTCAGGAGGCAGGGTCAGGTGTCAGGAACAGGGGTCAGGAGGCAGGGTCAGGGGACAGGGTCAGCAGGCAGGGTCAGGGGTCAGGATCAGGAGGCAGGGTCAGGAGGCAAGGGTCAGGAGGCAGGGGTCAGGATCAGGAGGCAGGGTCAGGGTGGCAGGGTCAGGAGGCAGGGGTCAGGAGGCAGGGGACAGGGTCAGAGGCAGGGGGCAGGAGGCAGGGCAGGGGGCAGTGTCAGGAGGCAGGGGTCAGGTGGCAAGGTCAGGGGACAGGGTTAGGAGTCAGGGTCAGGAGGCAGGGGTCAGGAGGCAGGGTTAGGAGGCAGGGGTCAGGAGGCAGGGTCAGGAGGCAGGGGGCAGGGTCAGGGCAGGGTCAGGAGGCAGGGGTCAGGAGGCAGGGTCAGGAGGCAGGGGTCAGGAGGCAGGAGGCAGGGTCAGGAGGCAGGGTCAGGAGGCAGGGTCAGGAGGCAGGGGTCAAGAGGCAGGGTTAGGAGGCAGGGTCAGGAGGCAGGGGTCAGGAGGCAGGGGGCAGGGTCAGGAGGCAGAGTCAGGTGTCAGGAACAGGGGCAGGAGGCAGGGTCAGGGGACAGGGGCAGGAGGCAGGGTCAGGGGACAGGGTCAGCAGGCAGGGTCAGGATCAGGAGGCAGGGTCAGGAGGCAGGGTCAGGAGGCAGGGGTCAGGGGTCAGGGTCAGGTGGCAGGGTCAGGTGGCAGGGTCAGGAGGCAGGGGTCAGGAGGCAGGGGACAGGGTCAGAAGGCGGGGGGCAGGAGGCAGTGTCAGGGGGCAGTGGTCAGGAGGCAGGGTCAGGTGGCAAGGTCAGGGGACAGGGTCAGGAGGCAGGGTCAGGAGGCAGGGGTCAGGAGGCAGGGTTAGGAGGCAGGGGTCAGGAGGCAGGGTCAGGAGGCAGGTCAGGAGGCAGGGGGGCAGGGTCAGGAGCAGGGGTCCGGAGGCAGGAGGCAGGGTCAGGAGGCAGGGGTCAGGAGGCAGGAGGCAGGGTCAGGAGGCAGGGTCAGGAGGCAGGGTCAGGAGGCAGGAGGCAGGGGTCAGGAGGCAGGAGGCAGAGGTCAGGAGGCAGGGTCAGGAGTCAGGGGTCAGGAGGCAGTGGTCTGGAGGCAGGGTCAGGAGGCAGGGATGCAGGGTCAGGAGGCAGGATCAGGAGGCAGGGTCAGGAGGCATGGTTAGGAGGCAGGGGTCAGGAGGCAGGAGGCAGGGTCAGGAGGCAGGGTTAGGAGGCAGGGTTTAGGGTGCAGTGGTCAGGAGGCAGGGTTAGGAGCAGGGTTAGGTGCAGGGGTCAGGAGGCAGGTCAGGAGGCAGGGTCAGGAGGCAGGGGGCAAGGTTCGGAGGCAGGGGCAGGAACAGGGGCATGAGTCAGGGTCAGGAGGCAGGGTCAGGAGGCAGGGTTAGGGTGCAGGGTCAGGGTGCAGGGTCAGGAGGCAGGGTCAGGAGGCAGGGTCAGGAACAGGGGCAGGAGTCAGGGTCAGGAGGCAGGGGTCAGGAGGCAGGGGGCAGGGTCAGGAGGCAGGGGTCAGGAGGCAGTGGTCTGGAGGCAGGGTCAGGAGGCAGGGATGCAGGGTCAGGAGGCAGGATCAGGAGGCAGGGTCAGGAGGCATGGTTAGGAGGCAGGGGTCAGGAGGCAGGAGGCAGGGGCAGGAGGCAGGGTCAGGAGGCAGGATCAGGAGGCAGGGGCAGGAGGCAGGGGGCAGGTTCAGGAGGCAGGGGCAGGAACAGGGGCAGGAGTCAGGGTCAGGAGGCAGGGTCAGGAGGCAGGGTTTAGGGTGCAGGGGTCAGGGTGCAGGGTCAGGAGGCAGGGTCAGGAACAGGGGCAGGAGTCAGGGTCAGGAGGCAGGGTCAGGAGGCAGGGTTAGGGTGCAGGGTCAGGGTGCAGGGTCAGGAGGCAGGGTTAGGGTGCAGGGGTCAGGAGGCAGGGTCAGGAGGCAGGGTTAGGGTGCAGGGGTCAGGAGGCAGGGGTCAGGAGGCAGGGTTAGGAGGCAGGGGTCAGGAGGCAGGGTCAGGAGGCAGGGTTAGGAGGCAGGGTTAGGAGGCAGGGTTAGGGTGCAGGGGTCAGGAGGCAGGGTCAGGAGGCAGGGTTAGGGTGCAGGGGTCAGGAGGCAGGGGTCAGGAGGCAGGGTTAGGAGGCAGGGGTCAGGAGGCAGGGTTAGGAGGCAGGGTTAGGGTGCAGGGGTCAGGAGGCAGGGTCAGGAGGCAGGGTCAGGAGAGCAACAGCATTTTGAAGCACCAATGAATCTTTTTCTCCCTATCTCCATCCTGTAGGAATGTGACAAGTCTAATAGTGGCCACCTGGCTGGTGAGGAGATAGAGCATTTCTACAACCTTTTGACCCATCGCCAGGAAATAGACACGATCTACGGAGAATACGCCAAGACCACGGGCTTCATGAGCGCTGAAAATCTACTGGAGTTCCTGATTAAAGAGCAGAGAGAGGATGCGACGCTAGCCGACGCACACAGACTCATCAACAAGTACGAACTGGATGATGAAGGTGATTACCATTTGTTCTTCGGGAATGACCATGTTGACTTTAGTTACTATGCCTTCACAACAACTTATACGAGCGTTCATAAAGTCTTCATAAGCCCTACATACAGTAGATGTTTCACAAATCATTTATAAGAAAAATCCTACTAAACACAGCATTCCCTGTAGGGTGAGTCTGGGCAGCTCTCAAATGACAGATGGGAGCTGTCCAAATCATTTCAAACAGTTCAGAGTTAACTTTCTATTCAATAGCGAGACTTCTGTTCATTTTTGAATTCTCACCAGTCTATCTTAGTAGTTAGAGTCTGACATCTGTCTGGTCTCTCTGCAGTCAAAGAGAAGCAGCTGATGACCCAAGATGGTTTCCTGATGTATCTCCACATGCCCGAGGGTCTGGTTCTGAATCCTACCCATAAGGCCGTGCACCAGGACATGAGCCAGCCCCTGAACCACTACTTCATCTCCTCGTCTCACAACACATACCTGATGGAAGACCAGCTCAAAGGGCCCAGCAATACTGAGGCCTATGTCAGGTATGAATGGCAGACATCATCTAGGGCAGTGTTTCTCAAACCTCTCCTGGAGTAACCCCATCTAGTTCCACTTATTTGATCCATTCTGGTATTAGCACGCTTCATTCAATTGGTCTGGAGCAAGTTTTACTAGCTTCTATTCTCATGGAAGACTCTGGGGACATTTAAGAACCTTAACGTGTCAGTGTCTGCCTGTGAATGAGTTTAACATTTAAAAACCTTAACGTGACTGCCTGTGAATGAGTTTAACGTTTAAAAACCTTAACGTGTCAGTGTCTGCCTGTGAATGAGTTTAACATTTAAAAACCTTAACGTGTCTGCCTGTGAATGAGTTTAACGTTTAGAAACCTTAACGTGTCAGTGTCTGCCTGTGAATGAGTTTAACGTTTAAAAACCTTAACGTGTCAGTGTCTGCCTGTGAATGAGTTTAACGTTTAAAAACCTTAACGTGTCAGTGTCTGCCTGTGAATGAGTTTAACGTTTAAAAACCTTAACGTGTCAGTTTCTGCCTGTGAATGAGTTTAACGTTTAAAAACCTTAACGTGTCAGTGTCTGCCTGTGAATGAGTTTAACGTTTAAAAACCTTAACGTGTCAGTGTCTGCCTGTGAATGAGTTTAACGTTTAAAAACCTTAACGTGTCAGTGACTGCCTGTGAATGAGTTTAACGTTTAAAAACCTTAACATGTCAGTGTCTGCCTGTGAATGAGTCAAGTCAGGACATGTTGTTAAACAGTTATGACTCTTCGTAGGGCTCTTATAAAACAGTTATGACCCTTCGTAGAGCTCTTTTAAAACAGTTATAACCCTTCGTAGGGCTCTTTTAAAGGGCTGTCGCTGTGTGGAGCTGGACTGCTGGGACGGGTCAGACGGAGAGCCAGTCATCTACCATGGCTACACCCTCACCTCCAAGATCCTCTTTAAAGACACCATCAAAGCCATCAAGGAGTACGCCTTTAAGGTAGGAAAGGAGTTCCATGTCAACTTTGTAGAATTGTGTGTCTGTCCTGTCATGTTTAATTCATATCATGCTTGATGACACAGATTTCCTTTTTGCAAATGATTAAATACAGACGGTCATCATCCTCATCGACAGAGACCCAAAAGGCTCGGCCTGGCCCTTTGTCAAATACTTGAGCTGCACTTTTATTTTGTTTACCCAGTACAATGGAATCAAAGGAATACTCCCAAAAGTGTAAACATGCGAAATCAAGCGCCTACTGTATTTGACTGTCTCTGTCCTCAGACCTCCGACTACCCAGTGATCCTGTCCTTGGAGAATCACTGTAGTGTGGAGCAGCAGAGGGTCATGGCCCAGCACATGAGCTCCATCCTGGGCAGCGCTCTGCTCACCTCCCCCGTGGGGGACCAGATGCCCACACACTTCCCCTCCCCAGAGGTGAGTTGGCTATAGTCTCTACTCTACTGTTTTATATAAGAGTCACTGTCTGCATGTATATTTGGCTATATGTGTATGATATGTGGAATTCTCACAGTTCCCTCTTTTGACAACACGTGCTAGATTTACTTCCCTCTGTTTTATGAGCCTAGTGCTTCCTAGGACCAGGAGCATTTCCTGTCCAGGAATGTCTCTAGTCCCTAGTCAGGAAGAACTTTAAAATATACACTGAGTATACAAAACATCATGAACACCTTCTCTTTCCATGACATAGACTGACCAGGTGAATGCTATGATCCCTTATTGATGTCACTTGTTAAATCCACTTCAATCAATGTAGATGAAGGGGAGGAGACGGGTTAAAGAAGGATTTTTAAGCCTTGAGACATGGATTGTGTGTGTGTGCCATTCAGAGGGTGAATGGGCAAGACAAAATATTTAAGTGCCTTTGAACGGGGTATGGTAGTAGGTGCCAGGTGCACCGGTTTGTGTCAAGAACTGCAACACTGTTGGGTTTTTCTCACTCAACGTTTGTTTCAAGAATGATCCACCACCCATTGGACATCCAGCCAACTTGACACAAATGTGGGAAGCATTGGAGTCAACATGGGCCAGCATCCTTGTAGAACGCTTTCGACACTAACAAATTGAGGCTGTTCTGAGGACAAAAAAAGGGGGGGGGGGGGGGGGGGGGGGGGTGCAACTCAATATTAGGAAGGTGTCCTAATGTTTAGTATACAGAACATACAGGGGGGGTGCAACTCAATATTAGGAAGGTGTCCTAATGTTTAGGATACTCAGTGTATATATTTTTATTGCATCACATTATCAGGGGATTTGTGAACTGACACATTAAGAGAGACACATTTTAAAGTAGGCCAACTACTACATTTCTGCATGTGTCACATTCATCAGGAGCTGAAGGGGAGGTTCCTGGTCAAAGGGAAGAGGTTAACTAAACTGGAGGCCTGCTTTGGCCCTGAGGCGACAGCCGTGGATGATGGTAGCTTCACTGAGGAGGAGGACGACGAAAAGGAGGAGGAGGAAGAGGAGAAGAAGGCCAAGGTAGGGGAAGAGGAGCCAACCCTACTATGACACTCCAATAGTATCATTGTGACGCCCCCCCCCCCCGTCTTCTATACCATTTAACTATCTTGCAACATACAGTATATGTTCTATATGTTCTGTATGTTCTATATGTTCTGTATGTTCTGTATGTTCTGTATGTTCTATATGTTCTATATGTTCTGTATGTTCTATATGTTCTGTATGTTCTGTATGTTCTATATGTTCTGTATGTTCTATATGTTCTGTATGTTCTATGTTCTGTGTGTTCTATGTTCTGTATGTTCTGTATGTTCTATATGTTCTATGTTCTATATGTTCTATATGTTCTGTATGTTCTATGTTCTGTGTGTTCTATGTTCTGTATGTTCTGTATGTTCTATATTTCTATATGTTCTGTATGTTCTATATGTTCTGTATGTTTCTATATGTTCTATATGTTCTATGTTCTATGTTCTATTTTTCGTATGTCTAATGTTTGTATGTTTATATGTTCTATGTTCTATTTTTTTATGTTCTGTATGTTTTTAGGTTTGTATTTTTTCTATATTTTTGATGTTCAATGTTCTTGTTCTATATGTTCTGTTGTTTTATTGTTCTGTATGTTTATAGTTCTGTTGTTCTGTTTTCTATGTTTTGTGTGTTTTTGTTTGTTGTTTTGTAGTTTTAGTTTATATGTTCGTTGCATTGTATTATGTTTGTATGTTTATTTTTGTCTATTTTTTGGTTTTTTTTATTTTTCTATATGTTTTTTCTGTTTAAGTTCTGAT